GAATCTATGCCACAAACAATTGAGGCAGTTCTGAAGGCAAAAGGGTGTCCAACCCGTTACTAGCATGGGGTACCTAATAAAGTGGCCGGTGAGTGTATCAAACCAAAGACTTTTTGGTGAACATAAGAATGATACTTTATCCTATGTCCCGATGTTAAATTTTTATCAATAAAAAGCAGTTGTTTTTCCTCTGTGGTAAGTGTAACTTAATATCTAAGTAACTTAAATGTCAATATCCTTGAAATGTTGTATACTTTCCAAAGTTCTGTTAAAAAAAATCTAACTTTTAAAGATTATAGATTCAGGCCCCACAAGTTAAACAACGTAAAGCATGTATGGTATATTTTCACAAAATTTGGGCATCCAGCTAATAGACACAAAAACAGGAATGCAAAAAAATTAAAAATAAATTATGAGAAAGGTTGAGCAAAAATTTCACAGGGCATGAATGTTTCAAAGTGAATGTAAAACACTAATCATCCATTAAACCATTCTATCATCTATTAAAAAGGTTTTCCTGGGTATTGTTAAATTGCTTCAGCTTTGTTCAATTGTCTTGTGGTGATGTCACGAGTACGCTTCTGTTACAATTGACCCATATTTATGCCGCATACTCATGTTCTCCCCAAGTCCACACCTTTTCTGTGTTCTTCTCAAGAACATATTTGGCGAAGACACGAGTCCATACCCTTGTAATTCTTGTGAATTGAGAAACGGCCAACAATTTGATCTCCAATTCGCAAAGATTCTTATTTCAGCCGTTACGTATATTAGCTGCGACATATGAATCAAGATGCTGTGACCAAAAAAATTAGATTGACAGATGGCCGTTAATATATATTTGGCCAAATTTAGGTGTTCAGGCTGACGTATCATTAACTAGTCTGCTTAAGATAACGAAAAAAAAACCCACAGATTTTAAGACAGGATTTAAAAAAAAATAGAAATGTTCTAAATTTTGGGACAATGTTGTCTGATAAAGAGTACATTTATATACATGTTTAGGCCAGAATGATTTGACATTTAAATATGATTTACCTACGACTTTAAATTATTTAAAATGCCTTGTTTCGATAAGATCAAATTTTCCCTGCCAAAACATCTCATCCTACTATAATGTATGTCTTTAAGGACTTTACAAATCTGTCAAAGCACTGATTATGGTAAGTGAAAGAAACAGGCAAAGAAACAGTGAACAAAGTGGAGGTGATGAGACTGCAGAGAAGACTAGATGGCATCAATAAAAATAAAATAAATATTTAATGAGCGGTCCATCTGATTATTCTATGTGGTAAGTTTGAGCTTTTAAGTGCACATATTAAATGATGCATTGTGTTGCTTAAGCAGACAAAAGAGATTTAAAATCCTTCTGTAGCTCATGATGGAGGAAAAAGAAGACCATGGAAGAAGTGAATGTAGTAATCTCTTACCAGGTTGCCAACAGCAAGGACATTCTCAAAATGTTCGGTCATCGGATAGTGTTCCATGGCCATGAAAAGAGTGTTGAGCACGATACAGATGGTGATGGCCAGGTCCACAAAAGGGTCCATGACAATTAAGTAGACAATGTGCTTGAGTTTTAGCCAGATGGGGCAGCATTCCCAGATGAGGAAGATGTTTGCAAACTTGTACCAACAGGGAGGACACTTCCTCTGAGATTCCTCTAACTCTGTAGGATGAGGAATAAAGTAATGAGTATTTTTTTAATAGCAGAACGGCTGTCTTCCGTTATCATTATCTTGGAGAGAAATCGCAAGGCCAAGCTGCTAATAAAACAACATATGTTTACAACCCACTTCCAATACCTTCCAAAGTATTCAAACATTTGAATTTCTTTTACAAGCTTTGTCGCATTACAAACACAAACTTTAGTAAACAGGTGCACAGGACAATAGAATGTGCACTTTCATCTGGTTTGGTCTGCCGCGGTTTCCGTAGCGTCGTGAACTCGCAGGCGCGCGCTTTCATGAAATCCTATACACTACTGTTTATGCTCTAAAAACATTCTAATTGACTTTGTTTCGAGTAAATTCTGGATGCTACCCACTCAGGACACTTGGAATACATTGGACGAGCAGTATGGAGGAATATTGACACGTTTTTTGTGGACTTTTATGGACCTTTCGGTCTCGGGCACCGTAGACCTCCATTATTTGAATGTCAGCAGACAGCAAGAAGCCTCCCAGATCTCCAGATGCATTTGAGATATCAAAAAAGTACTCCAGAGTGTTGTTCAGCATGGGGGTGAGTAGAAAATGAAGGCTAACCATGTTTTGGGTGTACTATTCCTTTAAGGTGCGGGTGGAAAGCCGAGTCTTGGAGGTAGCTCTTCTGTACTGAGCCATGCGTCTGTGGAGAGGTTGTTTAGTTTCTCCAATAAAAAAATCAGAGCATTCTTCACTGCACTGAACTACATACCACACTCTGCTCATATTGGGTCTGGGGGTTTTGTCTTTAGGATGCACCATTCTTTGTTTAAGGGTCTTGTTTGGTTTGAAATGTACCCAGGATTTTGTGTTTGGAGAATATCCTCTTGAGTTTTTTTAGAGCCTCCAGCAACATGTTGTTGCCTTTAATCTTCTCACTATTATGTTCTGTTGTGTGTCTTTTGGATTCCCTTGCTGATTTGAAAAATGCCCAGTTTGGGTATCCCAAAGGTTTGGAGAACATTTTTGATGTGTTTTTGTTCTTTGCACTTCCCTTCTGTGTGTGTAGGGTCATGCTCAGTGATGTAAGGTTCTGATGACTGAAAGTTTGTGTTCCAGTGGGTAGTGTGAGTCAAAAATAAGATATCGGTCTGTGTGAGTGGATTTCCTATAGACAATGTTGAGGTTTCCATCTCCTTCCATGCTAACCAAAGAGTCCAGAAAAGGTAGTTTTTTGACATTGGCATCCTATCTGGTGAAGTTGATGTTGTGGTCAACCGAGTTGATGTGTTTTGTGAAAGCTTCCACTTCTTTTAGCTGGATTTTGACGAATGTGTCATCCACATATTTAAACCAATGGCTTGGCGGTGTTCCTCTGAAAGTGTCCAAAGCTCTTTTCCATTTCTTCCATGTAGAGATTGCCTACAATTGGTGACGCGGGAGATGCCATGGCACAACCATGCTTATGTCTGTAAAAATTATCCCTGAACGTGAAATAGGTTTTGGAAAGACAAAGGTCTAGTGGGGTGCAAATCTTGTCCAGAATGAAATTAGTCCTGTTGTTTAGGTCACTAAAGCGGGTCTAGATGGTGCCAGCCCCAGAGTCCTGAAGGCCTGTGCAGAGCAGCTCTACAGTGCCTCTTCAATCTGACCCTGACCAAAAAGAGGGTTTCTAGAATCCCACTAAAATGCACCAAAGTTTGTGTTTGGAATATGACAAAATGTTGAATAAAGCATTTTAAAAATATCCTGATCAAATAGACGCAATCTTTCCGAAAAAGCACCATAAGAAATTTGCCAAATTAATAAAACAAATCTAGCGTACCTTCTAAAAGAGTGTTGGTGACCACACTCATCTGACTGTTTGCACGGTCTTTTCCTTTGAAGGAGGAGTTGAGCTGATCAACTGATATCATCAGAGAGCCAGAGTGTTTCTTCTTAATCTCCACATCTGTAGTCTGTACCCAGAAAATAAAACATAGATGGTTATTTAGAAATGCACAGCTTTAGTACCAAATCGCTCATTAAAGCATTTATTTAACTACCCTGGACACTTGACAATATCCTTATTCTAGTGAAGAGACAAAACAGAGAAAATATAGCCAGAATCTTTATATTACATCTGCATATAACACTGAACTCAATCTAATGCCTTCTAACTTTGGAGGGCATGCACTGGCATGCTTTTCATGTCAAAAAGGGGAATTCAAACCTCATTTACATCTATATCATGCTAAATATCAGAAGAAGTAAACAGGTAAGAGCAGATCGACTTATTGAGAGCAGAGAAGGTTTAACATGCTTCCTGCAGGGGAAAAAATATCATTACACAAAAAAATGTTTCAGGCTTGTTTTGTGCACCATCCAGGGACAATAACTATGGGTGGATGAGGATAGCCAGAGGGATAGCTGCAGCAGAGGAAGGTAAGTGAATGGAAAAGACAGATATACAGAGAGGAATGAGACAAGAAAAGGAAGGATTGTGGACAGCAAATGCTCTGGTGCCAGCATCCCATAGAGGGAATGCTGAATAATGGTGTGAAGGTGAAGTCCCTCAATGTGTTTCTTATTACTGAATGTAACTGATACCAAATCCCCTTAGATTTTAATAAAGTTTGTAGTTTGTATAGATGCTTGTTTGTTAGTTATCATTAAAATGTGAAATTAATCAAAAGTGGCTCTGTAGGATGAGACTTTTAAAAAAGAATCTTAAGAGTTTGGGAAACAGATGAACAAAGGGAAAGGAGTCAGGGTTTTAAAAGAAGGAGCTGCAGAGGTCAGGGCCGTCATCATGCCTAAACTGTATTGGTGTCCCATGGACGTCCTTACACTGTCATCAGTGGCTGCCTTATCTATTTTCACCTCAGGCAGAAGCCGTCTGCCAGGCCCAGGGCCAATGAGAGACACCACGCCGTTGCAGTCCACTGTGCTGTTCCGCTTCCCTCCAGAGTGTGGCACCAGCGGGTGGACGCGCGACGAGCCTTGGCTGTAGCCACTGTAGCTGTTGCGACGGTAAGGTATGAACAGTGAACCCCGCCGGTCGTCACGACGGTCTTCGCTCTCCTCAACAGTGCTGTGCTCGTCGTCTGCAAACTCATTCTCCGAGCCCATGTCCTTGGAGCGACCCTTGAAGCTGAAGATGCTGCTGCGGCTGTTGTGACGTGACATGAAGGGCGAGCCGGGGATGCTGAGGAGAGACTGAAGGAAAAGAAATGAAAAAAAAAAACAGGGGATTCAGGTTTGTTGACAACAGTGGAAGAGAATAAGAAAATAAATAAAAACAAAAACAGACAGTAGACATGAGAGAAATTCGATGTCTCAAGCATGAAAATAAAATCATGAGAAGTACTACGTATGCTTTCACCTGAAATCTTCTTCCACAATAATCCTCTCAAAAAAGGGGATCACTTTCCTTATGGTAACAACTTAATTTTGACCACAATTTGAGCTAATATAAGATTTGGTGATGGAACAGAAGGAGTAAGTTATGCTTATGTAAAGATACCAAATACAGGTGTACTTCAAAAAGTATTATAATATAAGTTCTTTATTTCATGTATTTAATTCAGGTGAACGTCATGTTTCATTATAACGAAACAGGTATATTTTTCAGGTTCCCTGTTGTTAATTAATCCTGTGTTATAGTTCATAAAACAACAAAAGCAGCAAGAAGGCTCTGGGTTTGATATCCGGCCTGGAGTCTTTCTGCATAAAGTTTGCATTTTCTCCCCGTGCGTGTGGGTTCTCTCCGGGCACACCGGCTTCCTCCCACAGTGCATAAATATAACCTGTTAGGTTGCCCTGCGATAGCCTGGCAACCTGTCCAGGGTGTACCCCGACTCTCGCCCGTAGACAGCTGGAGATAGGCACCAGCACCCCTCGTGACTCGAGCAAGAAAATGTTCACAGTTAACAGACGTAACAGCAGTTTTGAAAGGGGCTAAGAAGAAAAGACATTAGGAGACATAATATAGACCTTACACTGCTGGCAATAAAGCGCAGGCAGATATGTGTAAGAGAAAAAGAAGGGTCTTTCCTGAAGAAAAAGGGTGCTGTGTTTTCCTAAAGCAACTGTTTCAACAATTGGGGTACATAGCTGATACTTAGTTGCTGGGTCAATGGACACAGTAACTAAGTCAAACTCCAAACAAGCCAGTTTTATGAAAACCAAATGTAAGCCTAACTTACAAATTAAGCTGGTTTTATGGAACACTCCTCTGAGATACAATATTGTGCCTGAGCCCAATGAGTAAACAATAACCAGTGATGGAGCTTAATGTCTGAAGTAACTGAGCCAAATGAGTAAGCAATGCCAGCGTGAGGTGTGAAAGGAAAGATACAAAGTCCAAGATCATGTGTGAAATGAACAAACGTGGCCTAGAGGATAAGACGCATGTAGCTCTAAGAATACAAGATGAACAATAAGTGGAGTTAAAACTGCTGAGGTATGATTACCCATTAGGTAGAGCTTTTAATGGCAACTAGAGTGATGTGCGAGTAAACAGCCTAAATAATACTGACACTAGTAACAGTATCAAAGATAGAAGATTCAGAGATGAACCTTTCACTACACCAAATGTCCTCATCCTGCTCTTCATTTTGCTAATATACTTAGACATGGGAGATTAGAAACAAAAGTATTTGTCCATATTAAACGATGACAAACAATAAAACACATATAAGCTGAACTGAGAAAGGTAAATCTGCAGAAGGTAAGAGGGAGGTGGAAAGTTTGGGTGCTTTGTACTCACAAACATTAATCTATTGCCATTATTTCTGTCTTTTTTAGCATTCCCTCCTTTACCTTAATTTTAGCAGCACACAACATTTTGGAAATTGTACTCATGGTTCTATTAATGGCTGCAATTTATACAGGTTTGTAGGAAGCAAATAAACCCCAGACCAAAACACCACTACTGCTATGTTTCACTGTCGGTATGATTTTTTACTACCGAAATGCAGTGTTAGTTTAAGTTTAAGTCCACTGCAGATGGCCGCTCAAACTAAGCCTGGTTCTGTTGAAGGTTTCTTCCTGTTGAAAGGGCGTTTTTCCTCTCCACTGTCGATACAAGCATGCTTATTGTGGGGAATTGCCTTAGAGTTAATCAGTCAATGCAATCAACTGGTTTTCCTTAGATAGAAAACTTTGAATCATCTTGACTTTATGATCTGGTTGAATTGTAAAATGCCTTGAGATGACATGTGTTGTGAATTGGCGCTATATAAATAAACTAAATTGAACTGAATTGAATATGTACAATATTATTAAAGCATGATGAGGTGAAATGAAGAAACCATTTTAGTTTGTATGTTAACTTTAACTGACATTAAGCTATTGGTCTTATTCCCTATTTTTTGTTGGTAATTAATGTTAAGTTGATTTCTACACTTTATCAAGTGATTCTGAAAGCAACCAACAAATACTGAACAATTTAAACAATATTTTGCATTTCAATACAAAAATATAGCTTAGAAACTGGTTTAACAAGATTTTTTATGTTTAAGGAAATTGGGTAGCTTCAGGTTCAGTTTCCAAAAAGGTTTCAAAAACAATTAAGAAAACAAATAAAAGAAATTGCCATCATCTTATAGGCAGTCAAAATCCTCCCTAAAAGCATCACATGCAGAAAAGAAAGGTAGTTAAAATCCCACCTTTAGGGTGAGACTGTATGAGAAGGAAACTATACTGTTTAGACAATATATCAGCTTTTTCCCATTTGGTAAGCACTGTCCATCAAACAATGCAAAATGGCCGGCATTTCCACCATTAAAGTGAATCTTGCAGGTCACTGGACCGAATCAATAATTCAGGACCCAACTGTAGCAGGAGGCTGAACACTTCCAAACACTAAAAGCATACACAGCTTTTTGATCTGAAGCCATTAAAATAATTATTTTGCAGATGCTGACTTATTTTTTTCCTGACTGTACCTGGTTCATTATGGATGGCCTTCTCCCCAGTCGAGTTCCTGGGAAGCGGATGGTGCTTTTCTTGCTGCCATCGTCTGACTCAGACTTAACTACCTTCTCACTGTCTCCTTTCTCCTTCTCCTGCTCTTTCTGACGCCACTTCTTCTTGCGATTGCGACGTTCTTTGGCACTCTTTGAGCTCAGCTTGGATACCTCTGAGGAGCTACGGGACAAGTGACCGCCTTCTACATCCTCTAATGCAGCCTCTGACACTGTCCCTGCGGATGTGGCCATAGCAGCAGCCTGAAGTGAAAAAACAAATTTCATTATGAATATATGCATGCATTAACTATACAGAAGATGTAATCCTGAGGAAAGATGAAGTTACCTGTGTCTCTTCCTGTTGCTTTTTGAGCTGCTCCAGCATAGCTTTGAACTCAGCCTCTTTCTGCTCTGCCTCCTCCATTGTGGCCTGATTCTGCTCCTCATAAGCCATGGCCACCACAGCCAAGATCAGATTCACCAGGTAGAAGGATCCCACAAAGATGACCAGCACAAAGAAAACCATGTAAGTCTTCCCTGCAGCTCGGAGAGTCTGTAAGAACACAGAAAAATTAAGATCAAGACAATATAAAAATGGCTGCTCAGTGGTGCACTGATGCCTTGCAGCAAGAAGGTTTCGGGTCTGATTACTGGCATGGGGTCTTTCTATATGGAGTTTACATGTTCTCCATGTGCATGCAAGGGTATCTCTCCGGGTACTCCAGCTTTCTCCCACTGTCCTAAAACATGACTGTTAGGACTGTTATCCTTAGGTGTGAGTGTGTGTGTGAATGATTGTTTGTCCTGTTTGTCTCTGTGTTGCCCTGCATTGGACTGGCAACCAGTCCAGGGTGAACCCCACCCCTTGCCCGTAGACAGCTGGAGATAGGCACCAGCACCCCTCACGACCCCAGCAGGGATAAGCGTAAAGGAGAATGGATGGATAATACAAAAATACATGTTATAGACCAACACAAAATTGTAAAGTGGTCCAAAAAGGACCTTTGTTTTTAAGGGTTTTACATAAAAAGCAAACTAAATACAATGTAAAGAGTGTGGAAAGGATTTGAACTAAATCCCCTTGGTTCAATATGTTCCATAACAGCCTTTGTGGGAAGGTCTCAACACACATATGCCAGATATATAGACTGAAACACTGACAGACCTTTAAATAACTCAAGCACCGTCAGACATATTTTTGAACAGAGAAATAAATATTAATTATAACTTTGAAGTAAAGTTATTAATAAGTATTCATAATCATGTAAGATTACACTGTACTTCGGTCTAACCGTTTTCCCATAGTCTCTCATCACCTTCCACAGCATCCCCCCTCATATGGAGATGAAGAGTTGTGCTGTTCTTTGTGCAACGGAAACCTGAGCTAACAGTAACATTGTTTACTCCACATTGAAAGCTCATGCTAATGAAGTATCAATAGAGCTGTATTAGCTCACTACAGATAAAGCACCAAGAGGCATTTTACATGGTTGCAGGGGACTCCCATCAATCTAGGGAAGCTGTGTTCAGGACAGGTGAGGCATCAGCACTCTGAGGTAAGAAACTTCTGACTGCGGGCATTAAGAGGGCCAAAGCCACATATGGCCAGAAAATTCATGGTTACTTCACCACCAATAACCCGCACCGCATGTTGAAGGGAATCAAATGTATCACCGGCTGCAGCATCAGATATGTAAAATGCGCATGTGACCCCTCACTGTTAGATACACTCAAACGGTTCTGTCTATGAGGATCCCACCCACCCCAACAGACACCTGGTGACACACCCCACAGTTTTTTCCATGGCAGATATAAGAAATGAACCTGTGCTAAGGCCACAGGCCCCAACAACATCCAAGGGCAGTTACTAAGGGAATGTGCACACCAGCTGTATGAGGTGTTGGTGGACATCTTTAACATTGTCACTGGCTTCTGTCACAACCTGCTTAAAGTCTGCAACTATTGTCCCTGTCCCCAAGTGCTCCATGGTGATAATCCTGAATTAAAACCGACCAATAGCATTAACATCCACAATCATGGCGTTCTTTGAGAGGATGACCCACATCAAGGACTCAATTAACTTCACAGTGGAGCCAAATCAGTAAGCCAACGGAAGGAAGTGACCAAGGCTGATGCAATCTTCTTTGTCTTTGTAATATCATCTAACAGAACTTAGTGTGGAGGTTCTCCTCTTGGACTGCTCACACTGTACGTCCAGAAACCACACGTCGGACCCAGCACCAAAAGATGGTGCTGGTCTGACTCATAAATCTGGAAGGAAGAACTTCCTTGTTTGCACATGTGCACTGGATGAGGTTCTGGTAAATCAGTTCATAGACGCTCATAGCTCTGTTTCAACAGCAGTGGATTTACCACAAACAATTCACTAGGGATGTCTGAATTTCAAAACATGTGTGATTGTCTCCCAACCTTACGATTCCTGATCGGGAGGTGGTCGTGAGTGGCTGATCACCCCTCTTTACCCCCTGTATAATACACAACGCGGGATGCCTGATCGAAAAACATTCTTGCACGACTGGAGAATCGGCCCAAAAAGGGCAAAAACTTGTACAGTGTATGCCCAGCCTAAGGAGATGGTGATAGATTTCAGAAGGGACAAAGCTCTTCTTCATCCCGTGTACCTCAGAGGAGCAGCCATGGAGCTGGTCTCCAGCTACTGGTACCTGGTTGTGCATTTATCCAGTGACCACACCTGGAGTGCCAACACTTCCTGTCTGATCAGGAAAGCCCATCAATGGCTGTACTTATGCTGAAGTGAGCTGGACTCTGGAGGTGAGCCATGAGGAACTTTTATTGCTTCGTGGTGGAGAGTGCTCATCATGTGGCTTGGCAGCTGCACTGCTGCTGTGAGGATGGCTTTGTAGAGGTGGTTACTGTAAGTCTCCACTAAACTGTAGGGAGCAGCCTTCACTCCACCTCGGAGCTCTACACATCAAGATACAGTGGGATGGCAATCCACATCATGAAGGACTCCACCCATCCTGCACATCGACTGTTCGAACATCTCCCCTCAGGCAGGTAGCTGAGGAGCATCGAGAGCAAGACCATCCAGCTAAGAAACAGGCTCTACCATGCAGCTTTTAGTCCGCTGAACTCAAACCGCACTTCATTCAGCTTCACCTATTTCTTTTTCTTTTCTGAAATATTAAGCTTCTAAAACTGAAAGCTGAGTCCACATTTCGTACCTCAAACATGCAAACGTGAAAGGAGAAATCCTTGAATAATACAGCCAGCACTA